ACATTTTGAATAATGTAAATTTTGTATTAAAAGTGTCATAATTCTGCCATCATCCTTTGGGAAGCTCAAAAAAAGGCCACTGCTTCTATGCATCAAAAGGAGTAAGTTGAGGTGGTTTGTGCAGGGTGCCTCCCTGGGGGAGACTCAGAACTTGCTGGAAGGACTATGTATGCCTGGAAACGCCTTGGGATCCCTCAGAATGACCTGGAGGAGAAGAATGTCTGGGGTTCCATCATGGACCTGTTGCCCCTGCAACCCAATTTCAGATGCTGAAAGACATTGGATGGATGGAGTCTAAAAACAATGATCTTTAGCTATGACCCTTTGTGGCTTACCCTTCTTTAGAAAGGCATCTTTTCTTCAACACACCTGAGTCAAATCATCAGGTCATTAGCAGGACTGACCAAACTTGACTGCATGCTGGGGAAGTAATTCAGCCATTTGTGTGTTGGAACAGAAACACATCTAAAGGTTGCAGGACTCTGGCCCTTAATGGCTGGAGATGAAAGCCCCTAGGAAAGCAATAAGATAACATTTTGTACTTAAAATCTTTTAATCTGGCTTATATGCTCTTTTTAACTTGGAGAAAATGAAATTTTGGGTTTCCATTAGCTGCATGCAAACAATGCAGCAAGAAAGTACTGTTACTTACAAAATAACATTGCTAAATACAGGCTCTGCACAGAATTCTGTATTCCTACTTGCAATTGGAAAGTTGAGTTAAATGAAAAAGTGTGTTAGAAAACATCCCACTCAAATGTTTCTATTTTTTGGGAGTCTGAATATTAGGCTTTTGTTAACTGTAAGCCATAATCATTAAAACTGATACACTTCATTTATTGACTAAACCCAAAGCCAGCCCAAGGCAAAGTGAACCAAACAGCTGCTTAGGGCCCCCAGGCTTCCGGAGTTCCCGGCCATAAGAGCTTGAATTTTAACATAGACCATAGATCTGAAATTTTAACATCTATATATTGAGAATGAAAATACTATCAATAGTTTCAGCACCAATTAACACTTAAATGTAAGATTGAAAGTAATTGGCTTACTTTGTAAAAGAGCAAGAATAATATTCATAGTGTAACTGTTGTGTCTCTCAGCCAACATGCTCCCTGTGCAGGCCTCATATCCTTAAACATGCCATTCTGTAAAATGAATCTGTGTATTTCACTTTTGGTGTTGCTGAGATGAATGCAGTGGTGAATGACATTCTGATTTACTGAGATGCATCTGTATACTTCAGTCAGTGTCAGATTATTTATTGGGTGTGAATCTGAAAAAATATTATCCAGTATTTCAGTACAAAATGTACCCAGCTAAGAGCGGCTATCTGAGCCTGTGTGGACCCTGCAGGCAAATTGTTTCTCTGCTGAGGGACAACTCCATCCTGGAGAGAATGTGTGTGTAATCCACTCTGTACTGTGAAAATATGCGGAGCTCGAGGTTCAACTTGTGTTGCTGTAGACAGTGCTCTGCGCGCGCATGTGTGTGTATCTGTGGCAGTTCGAGTGACCAGCAGGTTGTTTGCGACGGAGATACAGAGCTGCAAGCAGCGACACTTTGAGAACAGGGAAGCAGAGTCGCCGGAAGCAGCAGCAGACGCGAGGTGGACGCAGACAGTAAAAATCACCGGCAGCACGAGCGACAGGCACCGAGGCGGCCAGCGGGGAGGAGAGACGGAGGAGGTGGATGAGGAGGAGGACGAGGAGGAGGTACCTGCACCCAGACTCGTTTTGCCCCGCCGCCTCCGTCACGTCTCCCTCCCTGTCGTCGTTCTCCTCACCCCTCGTACCTCTCGGACCGCTTCCTCGTTAAAATGGCTGACCCCAACAGCGACGGTGAGGCGCCGGAGAGCGCGCGCGGTTTCGCCCGCCAGGGAGCCCTCCGCCAGAAGAACGTGCACGAGGTGAAGAACCACAAGTTCATCGCGCGCTTCTTCAAGCAGCCGACCTTCTGCAGCCACTGCACGGACTTCATCTGGTGAGTGTGAGCGCGCGCTGCGAGCCGAAAGGACACAGGTGATTCACTTGCTGCTGCTGCTGCTGCTGCCGCTGTCTCTGCGGAAGGTCTGACCGGCCTCTCTGTACACCAACGCCGCAGTGCTAAAATCTGTCACCATAAAACACGGCGATGCGCCATTCAATGCGACAGCACCGCGGGCCTTCTACATAGGGGCAGAGATGCGCTACCTGCAGCCATACAGCACGCATTGCTGCTCGGCTTCCCTATTTTACTGCATCCCCCCTCCGCCTCCACCTACACCAACCTCTGAAACTGGTGGAGGAATGCTGCTGGTTGCATGGGGCCCCGCCGTTGTTGCTGCTGGTTCTCCGTGTGCTGATTAATGTTTGCGGCTGGATATCTTTATATGTAGGGTATCTCTGTCAGCGAATTCCTCAAATTTCTCATCCCTGTCCTCTGTCCACAGGGGCTTTGGGAAGCAGGGATTCCAGTGCCAAGGTAGGGGCTCATTCACAAATCATATGTCTGCTGTGGGTGTGTGAACACATACGGTTAAATTAAATTTTTTTATTTGAGGATTTGACAACGATCGCTGAAAAATAAACTGATATGCGAAAACTGAATTGTTTTTGAGTATCAAATTGAGTCGGAAGGGGTGAAAAGGGCAATTTTTGGATGTTAAATAGAATGGTAAACTCGCACTGAGCCAATGGAAACAGTAGAACAATGTTCAGTTCTGTACCATTATTTGCCTTCATACGGCTGTGTGTTTGTGAACTGATGTTCATATCCATCACCACCTCCAGAAAGTGTTTAAAGGGATGACACACCTGTTCTGCTAGGCACACCTTAAACCAAAAGACATTTCTGGAAAGGTCCAGAAATATCTTTTGGTTTAAGGTGTGCTGCAGCAGAACAGGTGTAAGGACATGGAGAAACAGCTACTTTAATAGATAAATGTTGCCTTAAATTAATTTAAATAGAAAGGTTAGCAAACTTCAAGAATTGCATGTCTAAACAACAAAGTTAATGTGAGTAAAGGAATCTTCAAGAGATCACAATGTGTTGCTCCATTCCATTTTCAAGGAAGGATTCCTAAAGACAATCAGCAGCTTGATTCTGTCAAACTTTTCTGATAATTTTATTTTTAAGAGTTTCTTACCTGAGTTTGACTGCACTGGAATCTATCTGCAGTCTGTGTGTGTGTGTGTGTGTGAATCTGTAAAGTGCATTTAGATATGGCTTTGTTTTGAATGGGTGCTTTATAAATAAGCTGATAGATTTAAGATTAATCGGCTGAAACATTAAGACAGTTAGAGCATAACATTCTGGGGTAATTTATGTCCCTGAGTTTACATTAAAATCTGTGAAAAGTTGTGACCCAAAAATAGCAAAAACAAAATGCTTAATTTCAGGCATATTTTCAATGTATCAACATAAAACCTTCAACAAATGATCGTTGATTAATATCCTGCCTTCATTCCAGGAGCTCTTAAAAATTCATGGCTTGTTAGCTCTAATCCACATGTTAATAAATGACACGAGCTTCCATGTCTACAGTTGATTCTTCATCTACGTTTTCTGCATTGTGAAAGTTATCGGGAAAGAGTTGTTTTAATAATTTTTTGTAACAATGACATGTTTTTGTGTTTGTTGCTAAAATTAAAATTGTGATCAAAATATCCTTATTGCACAATACTTTTGTCATTAACATGGCTACAGGGAGAATTCTGCTTTGAAAAAAACATTATGCTTTTACTTTCATACTAACATTCAAGAATTTAGATTCAAATTATTTCCAATATTTCTTGGAAGCCAAACCTTTTGCATAAAATCTGTTTGTTACTGGATGATCAGTAATGTCTAAACCAGTGTTTCTCAACCCTGGTCCTCAGGCCCCCTGTCCTGCATGTTTTAGGTGTTTCCCTTCTGCTACACACCTGAATTGTATCTCTGGGTGATTAACAGGCTTCTGCAGTATTTGATGGTCATGCAATCATTTGAATCAGCTGTTCTGGAATAGAGGCACATCTAAAACCTGCAGAGCGGGGGGGCGGTGAGGACCAGGGTTGAGAAACACTGATCTAAACAATTTGTGATTTTGGTCAGTTAAGAGTACAAAATGGATTTTTATATGTTAAATTCCGAACGTTTTGGGCAAGAGGCGGGGTCACCCTGGACAGGTCACCAGTCTGTCGCAGGGCACCCAGTTGCCCAATAAACGCTAATATTTTAACACAGACCACAGATACATTTATTTATTGAGATTATCAATGCTACTAAATTTGATTTAATGGTTTCAGCATACATAAATTAAAATATTTAAAATTGTTTAACATTTAAATGTAAGATTTTAAGAAGCTGACAAGTTTCCTTTGTAAAAGTTCAAAGAACAATATTTATAGTTTGTCTTGTTACCACAGCAACAATCTGATGCTGCGAGTTTAATCTTTGAGTTTAAGCTCTGTTTGTTTACAAATTCAAATGCAAAAAACTGCAATTATAACTTTTTTTTTTTAGTTTGGCCAATTAAACTACTCCCTCCTCCCAGATTAAATCTAACACAGAAGCTGTTAGAGGTGCTGATGTTTTTAGCAGCAAGAGGGGCTCTTAAGTCAAATTCTGCTGGAAGCCTCATACAACCTTGGACCGGCACTGCATGATGCGGCCGGTTAGAGACGCGTAACAAACGGGAGATTTTATTAAATGCTGCTAATGTGACTTTAGTAGCTCTTCTATTTCGTGTCTTTTGAGTTTTTAATAAGCATCACAGAAACTGTTTTGGTTGCTGGAGTTAATGAGAGGAGATTTTCTGATCTCCGCGTGGCTGTGGGCATTAATTCTGTCTGACTAAGTGGACAAAGCATTTGGTATAGTTTGATGCATTGTGTAACCAGAAAAATAATACTAAAAGTAATATAAAACCAGCATGATGCGTGACTGCGAGCAGAGCGTGAAAGCTCCTCACTGGGCTGAACCTGCATGATGAGATTATCGCTGGCCAAATGGGGAAGGGAAGACAGAGCCACACGGCGGGCAGCGTGTTAAGATGTAAATATGCCACATAATTCTTTGTTCACAAATGTAAATCATTCTTATTGCTCCCTCAACTCACCTCTGAAAGCGCCACTACAAGTTATTCCTGTGGTTCACATAGAGCTGCACAACCTGAGCTAACCAGAGCTATCGCTGTGGGTTTTAAACTCTGACCTTGACGTATAGTTTTCCAAAGAATCATAATTCCTCACAGGGGCTTGATGTAAATAAATATTCATACAGGTCAGCCTGTGTCCAGTTTGAGTGAAAGGAGGCACGCGATTCACGCTGAGTTAAACTTAAGAGATCAAGCAGCGGTAGCGCGGGAGGCAACGCACAGAGGTGCCAGCTGTGTGATTGGTCCATGCTCCCGACTTTAAATGCATAAACTATAAGCCTGTCTTTTAGCAATAAATCTGCTCCGCCATTAAATGCAATCCGTCTTAAAAAATAAAAAAAAGTTTTTAAATTATTATTTTCCTTAAAACAAAAACAAGCAACGCTTTGCCTGGCGGGGGCGCTAGTAAAGCATGGCAGGCCGCCAGGCCAATAATACACTGGGGGAAACCCTGACCTGTTCCTTCCTAATGATGTTGTCTGACATGTGAAGTGCACCAGTCCCTCTTGAAGGAACAAAGTCCAAAACTGATTCTTCACAGTTGGGATATTGTTTTCTGATATGCAATCTGTCCCTTTCCTCTTCAAAAGTAGAATATAAAAATACCATTCGTTGTCCCACAGTGGGGGAAGTTAAGGTCTGTGGGACCATGCCCATTCACCCAAAGGTAAAAAATAAGAACAAGAGGCTGTACAGCAAGGACACATTTCCAACATAACAATGCTCATAATGCCCAAACAGTTATATTTTTAGATTTATTAAACACAGATGTCTAAGCATTGGATTTTGTCCCTGAGTTGTTGCAAACCGTAATGTGTTGCTGTTGGAGTAATCAATTCTTCATTACTGAGTGGCAATTTGGGTCATGTTGGTACAGGACTTTCATTGTGGAAAATGATATATTGTTACCAGCTTCACCTGGATTTTCACACAGTTGCTGTTATTGTTTCAGGGTATACACTGTGTATGTAAATATGTTGTTTTAACTATAAGTGTATGAAAACATTAATTCTTGGTTCATGTAAATAAATCTACTAATCACAAAATTTAACAACAACCTTCAGCTATGTTGCAAACAGGGTCGGAAAATAATGTACATAACAAATGACATCCTGAATTACCTCTTTGCAGGGCAATAAAGGCTGTTTGTATTCTACCCTATTCTGGGTCATCCAAATTTCTTGAAACTCCAACCTGAACTGGTTGACACAGCTGGCCACTGACCTGCTGGTAGTAGCATACTGAGTATAAATGTCATAATGAGCAATAAATCAATTAATTACATGGTAATTTCCATTATCATGAATGTTTTTGTTGTTTCATTGTTTCTACCAAAGACTGGATGATAAAAGTCTTCAGTCTGATGCTTTGGTCTCAGTTAGCCTGGCTATTTGAAGAACAATTTTGTTTAGAAGCTACTGTTTTCATTCCATCTGTTTTGGGTGTTTTGATTATTTATTTTGCATATTTAAAATGTCTTCCAGATCCAGTGTTAAATGTTTGTTGAAAGTTTATTGATCTTTGAGAGGATGTCCTTGTATTTTTTTTTCCATTATCATTATGTTACTTGACAATGGTCTCACATTATTGTTTATCATAATAACTTTTGTGACAATTCATCCAGTAAAAGTTGTTATTGCAACAGTCCTTACTGTAAGTATTTCTGTCTGGTGAGAGTCGTAGGAAGTCCTGGAAATTTGTATGGGTGGCCGTGGCCCATCAGCCCCCTTTTCTGTGGTTGCACCACTGCTGCTGTTTGCTCTGGGTGTGTAATGCAGGTCTGCACACTGTCAGTGACCTGTTGGCTCTCTCATTGAGGGCATCATTGTTTTGGCAGGCAGGTGTCAAACCTAAGGCAGGCTCTCGCCAGCGTTGCTAAATGACAGGAAGAGGCTGAAGGGAGACGGAGTGAAATGTAAGAGTAGAAGAGGAGAGGGAGCAGACGGTGAAAGCTGAGATGTCTGAAGAGATCATGGGAGGGAGATGCAGCAGAAAGTTAGATTTCTCAACAGATGCATCTCGACTGGAGTTGTGAAATGGTGGGCCTGTGTGTGTGTGTGTGTGTGTGTGGGCGGCTGCTCATTACAGTCATTGGTGAGTGGGTGGGTGGGTGTCTAGACATGGATGGATGCACAAAATGGTTTTATAAAACAGGCCCTTGCAACATATAGTATCATCCCTTCACTGCTGTACTGCTGTGAAAGTTGTTCTGCTCCCAGTATCACTTCCTCTTCCTCACTGGTCCATCAAACACCCACCTGAACTCATCTGGCCCTGGTCATGTGACCAGCTGTGTGAGGTTCAGGAAGAAGGCAACCACAGTTTCTGTGTTAGCCTCCCTGGT